TCCAAGAATATAATTTATCCAAGAAAATATAATTTACAAAATAAATTTCTTTCGTATAAAATATAAATTATTAGCTTTAAATAAAAAATAATATTTCAAAATATTTTTGAAAATAAAAAATTTTGTTTTATAAAAAAATAATAGCTTTAAATAAAGAATAAGTTTTCAAAAGGTTTTAAATTAAAAAAAAAAGAAAAAGAAAAAAGAAAAAAACATAAATTATTAACTTTAAATAAAAAAATAACATTTCAAAACATTTTTAATTTGATAACAGGAAATTTTTGTTTTAAGAAAATAAATAACTCTAAATAAAGAATAAGTTTTCAGAAGGTTTTAAATTCAAAAAAGAACGGAGGAGGGAAAAAAAACCCGTCTGACCACAGTCAGGATCGAACTTTAGACGTGGGAGTGGATTAAAGAGCGCTTCACATGGAAAATAAAAGAAACGGCAAGAACGAAACTACTTTTCGTAGTTTCCAAAAATTAATCCCTTTTTTGGAAACGTTTCTTAAAATTTAGATCGACAAATGAGATTGGTTACCAAACATGTATGTTTCTAAAAAAAATAGAAATAGGAACAAGAAATAGGAAACGAAACGTTACCAAACGAGACCTTCATTACATGTGGAAGATGCATCTCGGTTATTTTGACCTATTTATTCAGTATTTTTTGTTTCTATTATTTGATACTAATCTTGAATTGTTCATCTTAGTTCATTATAACCTATTTACGACACAGTTTCTGGTTCAATGTTTGTACTAACCTTCAAATGTTTAAAGTTACATATTTTCTTGGCAAAAAAAAAAAAAGAAAAAAAAGTTACAAAATAGAGAATAAACTAAGTTTTACTCTTGCGTATAAATAATTTTAAAAAATTGACTGATTCGAAATTATACGAGTCATTAAGACTAGCCAACTTTTACTGCTTAAATTTCTCTCGTCCGGAGGAGTTGAGGATAAAAGGCTGCCCTGAAATGAAGAAATTTTCACATGGAATAAAAAGTAAACCCAACTTGAAACACATGAGAACATGAGAATTAGGCGAAGTCCACGAGGCTGAAAATATGAACACCAAAAACCAATTATTTCCTCCAAAATAGGATTTTTATTATTTGCTTCTTGTCCTTATTTAATCATCATTATTCCATTTGATTTTTTTTTCCGAATGATTTTTCTTTCATATGTGAAATAGTAAATGAATCCTTTGCAAAAAGAAATAGTAAAATGAAAAAAAAAAGGAAAAAGGAGATGGAAAAAAATTATTTTGTTTTTTTTTTATGGTTTATCATATATACTACATATTTTATTGCTGAATAAAATAATAAAAAGTTACGAAATATTTTTTTTTCCAACGAGTTAGAGATTCGAATTTCGACCTATTTGATTATCCAATATTTTTTTTTATAGAGAATATTTGATGAGTACGAAAGAAACTGAAGAGTCTCGAAGGAGCGCTGAGAGTGTGGTGAAATTCAATTTATTATTATTATTATTATTTCTTTTTTTTAGAACACACCACGAAACAAAAGCTCTAGGACAAAACAAAAACACTCGGGAAATTGACAAAAACCACCTAAAAAAGTTTTCACTACCCAAATCAATATTTTATTTAATTTAAAGAACTGTAAAATTACAATGATGCCCCTCCCTTCTTCCCTTCTTCCCTTCTTCCCTTCCCTCCTCTCTCTCCCATTTATTCTCTTGCATTTTCAAACTTCTCTTTTATTCTCTTCCCTACTTCCATTTTTTTCATATAATATTATTCTTCACTTTCATTTTGTAAACGTAATTGTGGCTAGCAGGGCCTCGAACTATTATGCCCTTTCTAATTTTCCTTATTTATATTTACTCCTGTTTTTCGATTTGCTTTCTCTTCTTCTATTTTTCGATTTCAATTTTCGTCACTTTCTTCCGATTTGAATGGGGATTGAAATACAACTCTAATCTCCAATGATTTTTTTTTTGTTTTAAATTGGGTTCGTTTAAATTAGAATGGACATGACTTTCGGACTTGAATCCATATTGCGTAAATCTCAACCCCTTATTTTTTTTCAATTTAGGTTATGACCATTCGTATCAAGCTTGAATCTCATCAGAAGTGGCATAAATCGTGACCGAAATCCATAAATCTCGCTCGAGACTCGTTCAAACTCACCAGGATTCAAGCAAAACTCTGGCGAGTTCAAAGAAAACTTGTCCAGGATTCAAGTAAAACTCGAGCGAGTTCAAAGAAAACTTACTTGAGAATCATTAAAAATTCGGACGAGTTCGAAGAAACCTCGCCCGAGTTATGAAATTGCGAGTTTGAATAATTTGGCGGATAAAATCAAATTTAAATAATATGTGCAATTTGATCCAAGTAACGGTGCTTGGCTTGTTGGCTTTGCATGCGTACCAGCATCTTCAATGTCATTGAACACAAGACCTTAATTATAAGTGGGTAAATCATCTGAATCCTATTTCTAATTTTGAGAAAAAAAAAAACTACCAAATTTCATCCCACAGGCATTGAACTCGAGACATTATGAGTGGGTAAATTTGAATCCACTGAGCCAAATAACCATTTGATAGTAATATTGACAATAAAAAATATATACTCAACTTTAAACTTCCCAACCCCTAAAAACTCTCCCGTGGACTAATTCCGATAAAATTTCATAAAAACTTGGGTGACTTTAATTCTTTGAACTCGTGGAGTCTTGGTCTGATTTTGTTTCACAATTTTTTCATTAAGTTGAGGGACAATTTTGTACTTTCACTCTTGCTAGAAAGTATTTTTAGATTAGAAAAAAACATATTTTCAAATGGTAGGGTTATTTGAGCAACAAATTTGTCAACTTCCCGACACACTGACACGCTAAAAGAGCAGAAATTTCTGGAAAATTCAGCTAAAACTTGCCCCCATGTGATCCTGCTGAAAAATCCATTGCCGAGAAGGCGAAATGTGTGTTTATTTTATAAATTCCTTCTATAAACAAGCTTTGGACCAACTCTCAAGAGGCACCTGCGGCAAGGAAAGTATTTTTAGAGAAGGATGGTTAGGGACCCGTTATCGCCATATATATGCACGTCCTCCCCATTTGCACTTCTCTCTCGTTCCCACACCAAACTTCGCTAAATAAAAGAGCTTTGTTAAACAACTCGAGATCGCGAAAGCCCATACCACCAAGACATTTAGGCTTCCACGTCATCTTCCACCCCATCCAATGAATTTTTCGGTCTTTTCCCACCAAAACCGAGCTGCCAACTGGTTAAGATCATTAACAAGTTTTTTAGGCAACCTAAAACAAGACATCGAATAGCAAGGGGAGTTTCCTTACCTCCTGCTGAGAAGAGCTTACCTTTCCAACCTTCGAGGTTTTTCCACACCCGATCTTTGATATAAGCAAAATTTACTGTTTTGCACCTCTCCATAAAGGAAGGAACATCGAGATATTGCTGTCTTGATTATCCAATTGAACTATATTTTGCTGTTCTATATTTAAGTTCACCATATATTTTATTTTAAGAATAGTTTAGGAATATGTTAATTATTTCTACCGTAAATTTATTAAATTCTCATGAAAAGATAGGGAAAACTATACTTTTAGTTCCTAAATTTCGATTAAGTTTTCAAGTGCTACACTTCGGCTCACAAAATTTTGAAAATATATTACTGTAAACAAAGGTTTTTATTTATTTATTTGTTTATTTATCTTGTGTTGGCTGAGCATAGTTAAGTAGATAAAAACGTATATTACCTTTTTTAAGATTGAGACGTTCAATCCCCCAACTCGCATTGTTGTACTAAAAAAAGATTACTTATTTTTTCGCATTGGAATTTTTGTTATCATTAATAATATTGAGATTGAGATGTTCAAGTAATTCCTTTTTGCTGACATAGACGTAGCTCATAAATTGATCATTACATTATTTATCGTCCTCGAGGTTTGCGATTCGAATTATTCACACTATATCGGTTGAACTAAACAAAAGTAATTTTGAATTTCTCAAAGATAAAAAAAATGGTACTTTTGTATTTTTTTTATCTCGTTTGTTATAATTTGTCTCTAAATACTTCTAAAATATAGTTGTATTGCTTACTAACACTAAAATATTATTCCAAACTTCTTAAAATATTTACATTCTAAAAAAGAACGAGTAATTTAAACATACAAAATTTTTTTGGCAAAAATATGTGCTTTCAACATTTTCTTTCCTTGTTTTTTCTCACAATTTTCATAACATTTGAAACCTCTGGAATTCAATACCATCAACTATAATTTCTATAACTACTAAAACAATAATATTATTTATTAAGGTGTTTTAAGTTTTAATAATTATGTTACAAGCTCAAGCACAGCCACAAGGGATTCCATATAAAAAGGGTGTAAAAACTGATTAATTTTGGTGTTTGTAGAAGGTTCATTTTAGTTGTATATACTTTTTAATTTTTATTTATTTTAATCTTTTACTTTCAATAAGTTTTATTTTAGTCTTTGTACTTATAGTGGCCAATTTATAGTCATTCTCCGTAAAATTTAACACAAATTTTATACACAAAGGAAAACCATGAATGTAAATTTATAGCTATATTTCAAAGAATTTAGTGAGTGAACTCTCATGCAAAAATCACAACGAGAAGAAGCAAGATAAAAATTAAGATTACAAGACCAAAATGAACAAAAAACATACGTTTAAGAGTACACAATAACTAAAATGAACAAAAACGTTCAAGGTGAAAGTACAGGGATCAAAATGAAGCAAAAGTCGAGATAGCGGAGATCAAAATATTACACAAACCTTTTATGAGAGCAGTATCCTTATCAATTTTCCTAATTTGGACATGGAGTCTAAAATTAGGCGTCGGTTCTTGAGGGCTGAATTAGTCATGGCTCAATATCCACAGTTCCTTAGTTTATGGCACAAAAATTAAGACCCTATTATTATGAAACAGTTACAGCTGCACAGACTATAAATTTCTACGATCTGAATTACAAAAATCAGATATCCTTCTCGATCAATAATAATCTCCAAGAAGCATAAACATTCAAATCCAAGAGGCATGGCATCTCGGAAGCTGTTCATGGTGTCCATTGCTGCCATGCTCGTATTTGCATGTTATGCTTCTTCAAGTATGTTCTTATCTTGTAACTTTATTCTTCTTTTCTCTCGACATGATCTCGTTAAGCCGAAACCATAAATTTTCTTAACGAGGGTCGAAATCTTTATGTGCTAACCTTTTATATGTATACACATTGTTAAGTATTTTGTAGGTATAAATACTATTATTGAGTGATGATGTTAACGTCACGAAAAGTTATAATTTTGTATTAATTTTTTTTTATTAGGTATAGATTTTGTATTAAGATTTTACAAACAAAGATCAAAATATCGCTTCTCAAAATACAAAATAGCATAGGGACCAAACTAAATCAAACACCCCTTGAAAGCAAATTTATATACAAGTTTTGAATTACGACAAATTAAGAGCGTCTTCAATTCTAGAATGTTTATAAGTTGTTTTTGATAAAACATTATTAGTAACGAAAGCTAATGTCTGGTCTGATGGCAGCTGAAGAAAATGATGAGGATCAAATTTGGACTTGCACTCGACCATGTTCAAGCAATTTTGGAGATCTAGAATGCGACGTAGGTTGCGTCAATGGAAACGAAGGCAACGGATTTTGTCTTCCACAGCATGGTGACTTTAATCACAAAGTTTGCTGTTGCAGTAGAAGTGAGCTGTTGCAATAGTAATCCATGAATTTAAGAAGGATATTTCAGTATCTTCCATTGGATATAAGTTCCAAACAATTCTATACCTTTTTCAATGCAAATATGAAATGAAATGTGTGGTTGAATACTATATTATTCGGTTCGTTTTAGTTCCGGTGCTTTTAAAATGTTTCAGTTTTCATCCCTGTTGTTCATTTTAGTTCTTATACTTCCAAAAATTCGGTTTTGATTCTTGTACTTTTATTTGGTCTACTTCCAAAAAAAAAATAAAAAAATTTACTTTATCCTTGGGTCTATTAGTGAACTATCTCTCCACGGATTGTGAAAGATGTTCCCATATAAATATTCTTGGACCCATATTCTCCAAAAAATGAATCCCGCTCTAATAGCTCTGAATAAATTAAATACATACATTAAAATACGACGGCTTCTTATTCCACAACAACGAAAGCACTTTTTCACTATTAATTCATATATTAGGGGATTTAACTTGGTAAAGAAAATGTTCCATACTAATGAATTCTAAAATGGACGTTGAAAAGTACTTATTATATATTTGAATTATATACTCATTATATATCTTATTTAATTATCTTCCCTCCATCTTATTTTTCTACTAATCAAGGGCATGTTTGGAAGAGATTTTTGCTATGTCAAAAATCACTTTTGCCATTGTCAAATATAACAAAAAAAAATGGAAGAAAATAATAAATTTAGCACCTACATTTTAGTTTTGCAAATATAACAAATTTTTTAGAAAAAAAGATAAATCAGTGATATATATATATGTCTGATACATACCTGATATACCTCTTATTTACTACTGATACAACGGATATAACTATGATAACCACTAACATAATTTTTTATATGGTTAGATGATTTAATATTCGTTGATTTACCACTGATTTATGTCTGAAATATATTTGATGTGTCTCTAATATAATACTGATATATACAATTGATTTACTTATGATATAACTATGATAATTACTAATATAACTTCTAATATGGTTTACCATTGATATGCATATGATATAATTATGATTTCTACTGATATAAGTTCTTATATAATTATATGATTTACCATTGATTTACCACACTCATATAGGATATAATTATAATTTCTACTAAGTTCTTATATAATTATATGATTTACCATTGATTTACCACACTCATATAACACTTATGTATCTATGATAGATACTTGATATGTAAAGAATAAAGAGTAGAGAAAAGATGAAGACGCCAAAAGTTTATAGTAGTTCGATCAATTTGATTTACATTTTCAGTCTATCCACTAATTGAATCAGAGTGATCACAATATAGAGAAATACCCTCTCATACCACCAGCATCAATCCGTTTACAGAATCTACCCTGGAGACCCAAAATATACAATGCACTACAAAAAAAAAAAAACGAAAGAAAAGAATATGAAAATAAAATTCATGGAATAGAAATAATAAACTAATCTGAGACATCGGAAACAGATAGGACAGAATTTTGTTCTAATTGGCTAAAGAAAAACAATTGGATAAGTATTCAAGAGTCTCCTTCTCTCCCTAACTCCCTCCTCCTTGGGTTTCCCTCCAAAAGATTAGCTAATCATCCATTTTCTCACAAGTACAATTTATTCTATTCATTGTACATTCTCTTCCCATCCCCTTACTGTCATTCTAACACCCCTCCCCTCTTTTTAGTTATAACAATTCTCACCCTTTACTTTTCTGCCCCTCTTCTTTATTTTTTCACGTTAGTGATACAAGAGGGGGCTTATCTAAAATCTTGCTTGTTAGATTCTCACATGATCAAACCTTTATTTGCCAACATAGTTTAAAACAAGAGTAAAGGAAGAAAATAAAATCAACCTTTTGCACTAGGGATAACAAAACAAAAAGATATTCTGGGATTCAGTGATTAAGAACTTACTGTTCCAGGATGAGTCAAAATATATGCATATCCTTGAGCAAGTTTATCTCGTGGAAATGGCCAATGTCCCTGTAAATAAACAACTTGAAAAATTCAGTTTTTGCTTCCCCAAACTCACTAGCTTTTAGTTTGACAAGATCAGTAAGATTTCAGGGGAAATTTCAAATGATGGGCGCTAGCTTTAATACTAAGGTGCTTCCAAAATGTGAATGATTACAATTATAGGAACGAAATGTTTGATGAATAATGAGAACATGCCATTTAATAAGCATGTATGCTTAATTCACAAATGAATCTGTCAGAGAACATTCCAATTTCTCATGTTCTTTATTTATTTTTTGTTTAATAACTGTTGGTGTTCAAGCAGTTTATGCACATCTTCGGGGCAATTACTCAACTCTACAACATATAATATTGAAAGCCTTGTATGATATTTAGAATCCTAAATAAATCGCATCACAACTTGAAATCAAGACGTTTAGTTTATGGTTTGTCCCTCCAGCTTTTTTGAAACCAACCAAAATAGTTTATTTCATTTTTACATTTAAAGACAATTGAAAATCTGGAACAAAATGCAAGCTTGGAGAAGCTATTTGCATGAAATCAAGTCATTCTCACTAAACAGTTGCTTTCTATAATAAATTTTTCATGTGGGTACTACTTGAAACAGATGTAGGACATATCCAATGTTACTGCCATTTATATTAGCTCATCCATGAAAGTGAAACCTGTTGCTGCAAATGGTAAACTCGCTACTAGATGCAAACCTGTGTGGACCCAGTGTCATGGTTTTCCAAGAAAGTGACAGCACGGGAAGGCCACCATCCCACTACTCCAGTTGGTTTTCCTTGTGGGTCTATCAACCTCCAATATTGGTTATGAAGGGCAGAATGGAGTATCCCCTGCAAGGGACTTAGATGTCAGGATTGTCAAACGAAGAAAACACTTGTATATGACGAGATATTTGACAAAATACAAAATTTTAAAAAATGTTGCCAGAATCTGTTGCAAATAATTTTGCTCACTGCATCATCCAGTCACTCAAGTAAATTAATGGATTGGAATGCTATTAGGATAGAATTAGGAATATTATTAGTGTATTGAGAATATATTAGTAATTAGTGAGGGAAGTTGGTAGGAAGATTTGTTATAATAGAGTGAGGGGGAAAGAATGAAAGTAGGTATTGATTTAGTTGGTTTAAGCTCGAGTGATCTCGAGAGGGGAGGATCCAAGTACCTTGAATTACTTGGGGATTATTGTAGTTCTTCTATCTTTTATATTTCAATATATTTCTAATTATTCAGGTTCTATCATTAATCTTCACCAAAACTCCACACAATTAACCAAAGAAGGGAGAGGGAAAAAAAAGACTCCACAACTTTTTGTATGTATGCCTCTTGGTAATTTAATGAAGGATGGCACCCGAATGATCTTCACCTGGTATTCCCTTCACCTTCTTCAAAATGAGAAATGTAACATAAAGATAATGAAAAGTACCTTTGTTGTGACATCAAATGCTGAGGAAGTGCCACCAGTGGCATTGATCCAATTAATTATTCGTTGCCGATGAGCATCTAAACATATGAGCAAGTTGAGAATATTTAGCATAGTGTGAGGTAAAAGATTATAAAAACATCAAGAGAATTCTTTGCCCAGGATTACAGCCACTTGAAATCCCATCCCACGTCCTATATATATAAACTTGGACATAGTGTTAACCATATAACTTTTTATTCACTAGTTATTTTCCTAAATTTGTACAACATAGGAACCAAAGCACCATTTACTTTTAACTTAGCACATAATGATATGAGATAGTTAGAAAGCCCACAATAATTAAATACAATCCGGCACGTACTAGAGGTAAAACTACAGAATCAACCAGGCATTTTTCCACACTTCAAACTTGACTTGGTACTTGGTAGTTGTGGACCTAATGACAACCTCTTGATTATAATAAGCATACTGAAGCTCTGATGTACTGAAAGAAATGAAGGACTGCATGCATGGTCCTTTACAAAGACTAACAATAAAATTGTTCATAGAACTGAAAATAAGTCCGAGAGTGTAGAGCAACGTACTACCTTGGTTATAACATAAATTCCCATGTTCGTAACCCAAACTGTCCCAGTATTCTCCAATAGCAAAAGTCGGATTTGAAGCCTCTATATATTCTTTAACATATGTACCCGAGAAACCTCTACAAGTAACAGAGAAAAATCTTCAATATCCTGGAACACAAGAGTAACTCATTTTGGAACTATAATGGTATTTCTACCCCAATTGTCCCAATTTTAGTACCGGCTGACTGTAAAAATTAGAAGGTATGTGAGCTTAATTCTTGAACATCTTGATCATATGTGGCTGTGTGTGAATGCAACTTCATGCTGGGGAAAATATATTGAACAGAGAATATTTTCTCCAATTTAGTATCATCTATTATTTATAAGAAAGCATCTATTGTAGAAAAAAGTCGCAGAGAAATGACCTCACAAAATCAAGGCGCCACCCATCAAAACCAATATCATTGCGAAGCCAATTTAGCCATTCTTTTATGTCTTTCCTCACAAAGTCTTGGGAATGATCAATATTTGGTGCTGCATGGAAAATATCGCCTACAGGTAGCAAAAACAAACAAAAAGTAACATGACTAACTACACTAAAGCTTTTCATGGAACTGAATTGGCTAATTTCAGAATGAGTAAGCAACATATCTGTTCATTCTAATCTTTATGTGATAGCGAACTTATGCTGGTTGTAATTCTTCTCATTGGAAGATTTTATGCTAAATCAAGCATGACCCAATTCTATAGAGATTCTGTATAAAGCAACCATATTAAACTTGAAATGATCAAGACTTAAAAACAATCACAATTAATAAATTAAATCACTTCATGTTCATGCCAATTAAGGGAACAATTGCTTTCATGTCAAGGTAGACACCATCAAGATGATGACATTAACTAGTTTTCCACATAAAATCCAGATAATAGCATTCATAGTTCAGTCAGTAGACTAAGCTAAATAATTACCACTTGAAGGATTTCCTCGACCCTGAAAATTTGGATCATCACAGACAATTGCTTCAGGTCCCCAAGGAAGCTTGCCACCAAAAATGTTCCAAACACCATTGGGACTCTGAAACCAACAAGCGCACAAAGTTATATAAAGGCACAACTACTTTGAAGCTGCAACAAAAAGAAGGCCTGTTAAGTGAGGAACATAAACAACTAGAT